TGGGCCGGGGATCACTGGTGGTCTGCAAGAATATTTTGGTGGTTCACAGAGAAATGTCACCCCCAAAGCAATTAAACCAGGCTGCATGGGAACACACGGCTGTGCCGCCCACATGGCCCGCAAGAACACAAGGCTTGCGTTGCTTGCATTGCGAACAACATGAAGTAGTGAGGGGAGGGGGGAAAGGACAGAAAGGGGGAATTTGCCCCACTCTATTCATGCACCTGGCCTGGCCACCGGGCTGCTTCTTTCCGCTTCTTTCTTCTCCTGCTTTTGGCTGCATGCAAGGAAAGCAGCAAAAGTCTTTCTTTCTCTCCCCCAAACTCCCCCAGAAACGAGTCTTTGGGACCCTGCAAGGCCTCCTGCTCCAAGAGGCTGCACCCACGTGAGTTTGGGGGAGAGAAAGAAAGATTTCTGCTGCTTCTGCTGCTTTCCTCTCTCTCTCTCTCTCTCTCTCTCTCTCTCTCTCTCTCTCTCTCTCTCTCTCCCTCCCTCCCTCCCTCCCTCCCTGAGAACGGAGCTGGAGACGGTATCCTGCAATCCCAAACAAAGAACGATCGATCGGTAGGAAAACGGGGTGGGGAATTTCCCTGCATACTTTTTCGGGGATTTTCCCAGGGTCTCTGGTCCGCGAGATTTAAAATTATGAGTTTGGTGGTCCTGAGGTCCAAAAGGTTGGTGACCCCTGCTCCAAATCACCTGAAGGCAGAACAAGAAGCAATGGACTATAGAAGGAGAGATCCAGCCTAGAACTAAGGAGAAGCTAAGACTCCACTCCTGAGCCTAATTTCTTCACAGAAACTACCTTCATGCCTTTTGGCTTGTTGAGCTCCTGCATTGTGTGAGGCTCACAGCCTTTGTGCTGTGTTTTTGAAGGATTAGCAGTTCTGGTGGGAACTACGGTCCTTAACTGGAACCAGAATTTATATTGCCAAAAAGGTTGTTCCGTGAGTCAGAGGTCTCCAACCTTGGCAACTTTAAGACTTGTGGACTTCAACTCCCAGAATTCTCCAGCCAGCTGCCGTGAGTCATTCCCAACCTTATGACCTTTTTGCCACTAAGTGAATCATGTTGCCAGACCTGCCCCAGTCTGATCTCTTAGGAAAGAAAGACCCTCCCCTTCATTTCGGTGAAGGGATGGGTTCTTTTACTGAAAGATGCTGGCTGCAGTAAAGTCAGGCTAGAACTTAATTCCCCGCATTCAAACGATACAGAAAATTTCCCCCAGATCCCAGCACACACACACACACACCCCGTGGCCAGTCCATATTCAGCCAATAACAGTCCACCTAGGTGTTTTGAGAACACTGAGGTCTTTAAGGCAATTTACCTTCTTCCTCAGAGTGCCTGGCCTTGGGTGCTGGCACAAATGAGCATATAAAAATATGGCACAAATAAGCGCATAATCGTGCCTACTGCCCCCGTCCTGTAAATTGTCCCCATTTATTCGTACCTATTTCCTGTATTCATAGTCATGTTTGTTCTTGTACCTATTATCTTGTAAGCATTTGACAAATCAAATAAACAAACAAACAAACAAACTGGTTCCAAACTCTCCTGCTCTTCCCCCCTCCCAATTTTCCATCACATGCACACGTAGTTTGACTGCCCATTTGTCCCCTCCACCATGTTCCCCCCCCCCAGTCTTTGATGCATGGCGGACCTGACACAGGTGGTTGTTAAACAAATCCGGCTTCCCCATTGACTTTCCTCTTTGGAAGTTGGCTAGGAAGATCACCAATGGTGATCACATTCCTACATCCATGCTGTTGCTAAGTGACTGGATTTTGATCATATGACTTTGCGGATGCTGCATTGGTTGTTAAGTGTGAGGATCAGTTGTAATTCCCCTTTTTTCAGGGCCATTGTTACCTTGAACAGCCACTAAATGAATTGGTTGTAAGTCAAGAACTACCTGTATTTTTCCTTGGGGGAGCCTCAAAGATAGATAATTGTGTTTCTGCCATCCAACCTTAGCAATGCAAACTGGAAGTGTCCTCTCTCACATCCAAGGTGAGCTAAAGAATCATTTACAGGTAGTCTCTGACTTACAAACATTTATTTAGTGGCCAACGTTACGACGACAGTAAAAAAAGTAACTTATGACTGGTCCTCACAGTCTTACTTAGCAACAGAAATATTGGGCTCAATTGTGGTCGAAAGTTAAGGATGATTTACGACCCCAAAGGCTTACATGAGGGAAGGGCTGGTTATTTGAAGGACTACTTGCCTCCCATAATATCTGCCTAGCAAACATCGTCCTGCAGGCTTGGAGCATTCCGGTTCCTTTGGTTAAACAGCCTCATCTCTCAGGACCCCCGGAAGCCCCCCTTCTCTGTAACAGCCCCTATCCCTCCAGAATGAGGTCCTCCCCCTCCAAAATCCAGACGGCCTCCACTCTGCTGTGCTTCAGAAGAGCAGAGAAGATCTGACTTTTCATCCAGGTGTTCAGCAAAGGAGAACAAGACCCCCTGCTTCATTGTGCTTGCCACCTTTTATCTCTACCTTTTATCATTTTTATTTGTAATTTCTTTGTTTTTTTGTGAGCCATGCAGAGTCCTTGACTTGGGCAGCATACAAATTACTATTGTCCTTAAGGTTGCACAACAGTTAAATCTCATCTTGGGGAAAAAAATAGAAGGGAGGTGACTAGTCATTTAGCAGCTGTTCAGATTTATGGTGCTGAAGGAAAGGCAGTTGCGACCAGACCTCCTACTTATGTCGGTCACAGTGCAGTCACATGATTGCAACCTTCTTGGCCAGTTTCTTACAAGCAAAGTCAATGGGGAAACCAGCAGGAGGTCACAAACATTGACCCATGTCCTTCCTTAACAGTGACTTGCTTAACGGTGGCAACCAGAATTGCTAAAATTGTTGTTGCTAAGCAGTGCAGTCACATAATGTCATGATTTATGACTGCATCACTTAAGGGTGGACATTGCATCCCTAATTAGCATCGTTAAGTGAGGGCCCTGTAGTGCAATAAGCAAGCAAACAAGCCTGCAAAAATTGGTTTCCTTAAAGCTTTAGTTAGCTGGATGAATATCACACTTTCACCCTGAAGAAAAAATGGCAGTTAAAAAAGACATATAATAAATTAAGAACAAATATAGTGCTACAAACTTGAGGCAAACTCAAAAGAAGTGTCTAGGTGTCATCTAAAAGCAAGGATTAAGACCCATAACCAGTCTGGAAAAAGACTAATCCTTCAGCAAGACTTCAGAGGTTTTGGGCTGGGAAGCTGCCAACTCCTTGAAAGGAACTCAGGGTCAAGAGTAGGAAAACAAAGTGACCAGGCAGTGCAAATCACCAGACAGTAGGTTTACTGTATGCTAATGCTCTCTACAAGAATCTGAACTACTAACAGTCAAAGCAACCTGGCGGTAGATAAGAGTCAATGGAATTCAAGGTGGCTGGACTTAGATCTGGGCACAAAGGGACTCGAGACTGATGATGTGTTTGACCCCCTCCCTCAGGCTCTGCCTGGTCGTCTCCTACACTCAAGAAGCCATCAGTATATGATAATATTATTAATGGATTATATAACTTGATACTTATTTGTATAATGTAATGAGGCATATAGATATAGCAAAAAAAATGATTATATTTGTCTATGTATTTGGCTAAATGAAAATATGATGGAAAATATAATTTGGATAAATGTGATGAAGTCAGAAGGAAGGATGTGCATGAAATACATAGATACATACAACAATGGCAAAAGTAATATGAAAAGGGGTGAAAATAATGGATGATATCAATTAAGATGAATTTGTGGAAAATTAATGGAATGATATGATTTGATAAAATTTGCAAATATGACGAATATAAGAATATAAGATTAATGAATATAGAGAATGACTAACAATAAAGAGAACAATATAAAGCAATGTATGAGAATATGAAAAGGGTAATAGATACTGATGTGAAATTAGACAAGAAAGCTGTATCTATGATTAAGGTCATGTTTGATTTAAAATGTTAAAAGCCTGGAACCACACTGTTCACCTAAAGATGTATTTAAAGAAATAAAAATTTTAAAAAATCATTTGGGGAAAAAAAAGAAGCAACCAGTCCTCACCTTTCCATATTGGTGCGAGATGATTCCAACACCTTTTCTAAGACTTTACAACCTCAGTTCCAACAGTAAAGCAGAGAACTAAGGGCTGAAGATCAGAGGAACTGGGAGATGCATGAGAGTGGCCTTCCCCAGCCGCGAATCTGAAGGGTGACTTTGGAGGAAAATCAGCAAGGAGCCACAAGGGCAGGAAGAGGCAAGACTTGCCCAAAAGGGGTTTGACCTATGACCCTTCAAGAGGTCAACACTCAGGCAGGTATTCGTAAGGAGTCAAGGCCTTCTAACCTTTTTTTCAGTTTAAAGGATTTTGTCAGAACATAAAATTGGACCAAAGAACAAAAGTTAATATTTCCCTGAAGGAAAAGTCTTCCTCGAGTTTAATATTCATGGGGGTGGGAGGGGGAGCAATATGGCTCTGTATTTGCCATCTTTCCAGGATGTTTTTCAGTTTCTAATTTTCATTTTCCAGTGGTCTCTCATCCCAGAACTAACCAGGTTTGTCTGTCCCTGTTTGCAAGATCAGGTTGGCCAGATGCTGCCCCCTGTTATGACCCACTCGATAAACGTAAGGCTGACAGGGGTCTCTTGGATGCCCCCACCAAGGTGGATTCCTGGATATATTTGAATCCAGTAACTTATCCTGCAGGCTTATGATCTTACTTCTGTCTTTAGCTTACTCTGCTTTCTTCTCTATTTTGAGTTTGTATTTGTCTGAGCAGCAGAACATTTATTTATGAGGCAGCCACATAAATAATCAGAAAGGTTCAAAACTTACCACTTTGGTGGCCCTGGCAAATTACTGATCCATCCTCCAATGAATTATGCTTAGGAAAAGTCAGCTGAAAGGGACTGTGGGATCTAGTAACAAGCTCACCCAATCTAGTAATGGAGGACAAGAACGGCAACAGGAATGAGGCATTACCAAAAGCCCTCGGGCCAGGGGTGGAGTAGTCCTCAAGCTTAAGGGTCATCGAAGAAACACCTGTATGACACAGCAGTACTGTGGGGTGTTGGTGGGAAGCAACAGGGGAGAGACGGGGCTTTGCTTATCTCCCCAGTGAATCAGAATGTCATAGTTTAGGTTCATTTTAGTCTTTATGTCAACAGTCCAGACAGACAAGCCAACCCACAGAAGAAAGCAGCTTGCTGGCTTATTTATTTATAGAAAGCCCACTTCCACAAAGGACCTGCAGTGGTTTACAGTCAGAAAGCAACAAACCACCAAAAAAATTCATCCGCTATCACTGGAGGCTTTCAAGAAGAGATTGGACTGCCATTTGTCAGAAATGGTGTAGGGTCTCCTGCTTGGGTGAGGGGTTGGACTAGTCGGAAGGTCCCTTCCAACCCTGTTAATCTAATATCTAATATCTAACTAAAAAAGTAGCCCTTGTATCAAGACCCTGCAGAATAGAGTTTGCAAGTTCTTTGTAAAGACTGTTGTGGTCCGCCAGCAGCCTGCGCAGCTGGTAGCAGAGTCGGACAGTGGGGAGGAACATGGGCCAGTCCTGGAGTCTGGGGAGGATTCAGACAAGGGATCTGTGTCCGACATAGAGATGGGACCAGGGCCATCTGGGAGTTATGTGCTGACTCCGGAGCCTCCAGAATCTGACATCAGCAAGGCAGAGGAACAGCGGGAGCCTGTTCCCAGTGTGCGCATGTGCAGAGCTGCCAGAAGTCAAGATCAGCTAAGACAAAAGGGGCGACTCAGGAGTAAGGCATTTATCACAACAGTTAAGCCTGGCAGTGATTAAATCACTGAAAAGATTGAGCCCAAAGAGATTTGTGCAAAATGGACTCTGCCTTCTGCCGAGGCACTTGGTCAGGATGACTCTCAGGAATGTATTGGGGAGTCTTTGTGATGAGACACCAAAGCTACGGAGAAAAGCCACTGGATCCAATACTAAAGTTCAATGCTATGACTTGCAAGCATCTGGCTTACTCCAGAGGAGCTTAGCTGTCTGAATTGAGGAATCGGGCAGGCAGATCCAGAGCAAGAGCTAAAAGATGAGACTCAGACTGGATGAAGGACAATCTCTAGATCCGTGTTTCTCAGCCTCATCGACTCGAGGATAAATGGACTTCAACTCTCTAATCTCGTAGCCAACATCGATGAGTGCACTTCAATTCTGGGAGTGAAGTCCCCTCATCCTCAAGTTGATGAGGTTGAGAAATGGGCCCTACCCAACAAAATGAAATTTAATGTGGAGAAAAGCAAAGTTTTACACTTAGGCAGGAAAAATCAAAGGCACAAGTATATTTTAGGTGAGACCTGGCTCAAAAACAGTAACTGTGAGAGGGACCTTGGAGTCCTAGTGGACAATCATTTAAACATGAGCCAGCCGTGTGCAGCAGCAGCCAGAAAAGCTAATACAATCCTGGGTTGTATAAACAGAGGCATAGAATCAAGATCACGTGTACACCACTTTATAAAACCCTAGTAAGACCACACCTGGAATACTGCAACCAATTTTGGTCACCATACTACCAAAAAAAATGTTGAAACTTTGGAAAAAGTTCAGAGAAGAGCAACTAAGATGATCAAAGGCCTAGAAACTAAAACATATGAAGAACGGCTGTAGGATCTGGATTTGGCTAATTTAAAGAAAAGAAGAATTAGGGGCAACATGATAGCAGTATTCCAGTATTTGAAGGGCTGCCTCAGAGAAGCAGGGGTCAAATTATTCTCCAAAGCACCAGAGGGAAGGACAAGAAGCAATGGTTAGAACTCAAAAACTAATCTAAGAGAGAGGCAACCCGGAATTAAGGAGAAACTTCCTAAAAGTTTGAACAATTAACCAGTGGAACAACTTGCCTTCAGAAATCATGGGCGCTCCATTACTGGAAGACTAGACAGTCACTTGTCTGAAATGGTGTACGTTCTCCTGTTTGAGCAGGGGACTGGACTAGAAGACCTCCAAAGTCCCTTCCAGCTCTGTTCTATTCTTATAATTCTTCTATTCTGATACTCTAGATAAACAAGACAAGGAACAGGGGAAGACAAGGGAGGACCAAACTGGCTATGACTAAAGCTTAGTTAAATGAGAGGCGGGGTTGGATGACATTTCCTTATTACCTGAGGGCAGAACAGGTGTTGTGCAGGCCACTGGATTATGAAAACTGCTAAGGGCAATTGGGCCCAACAAGGACCAGTAATTGAATGCAACATAAATTTTTATGTATTTATTTATTATTATTTTTATTTGGTTTGTCAATTGCTTACAAGATAATAGGTATAAGTAAAAACATAGTTATGAATACATGGATACATATAAGAAAAATAAAAGAAACAATAGGACAGGGACAGTAGGCACATTGGTGCGCTTATGCACACCCCCTACAGACCTCTTAGGAAAGCGGGGAGGTCAATAGTAGACAGTCTAAGGTTAAAGTTTTTGGGGTTTGGGGAAGAAACCAGAGTCAGGTAGAGGATTCCAGACATTGACCACTCTGTTGCTGAAGTCGTATTTCCTGCAATCAAGTTTGGTGCGATTAACCTTGAGTTTGTATCTATTGTGTGCTCTTGTGTTGTTATGGCTGAAGCTGAAGTATTCATTGACAGGTAGGACATTGCAATATATAATTTTATATACTATACTTAGATCAAACCGCAGGCGGCATAGTTCTAGGTTTTCTAGGTCTAGAATTTCAAGCCTGGCGGCATAAGGTATTCTGCAACGAGTAGAGGAGTGGAGAACTCTTCTTGTGAAATATTTCTGGACTTTCTCAACTGTATTAATATCAGATATGTAATGCAGGTTCCAGACTGATGAGCTGTATTCAAGTATTGGTCTAGCAAATGTTTTGTATAATCTAGTTAGTAGTGTAATATTACCAGAGAAAAAGCTACCGTATTTGCCGGCGTATAAGACAACTTTTTTGCCCTGAAAAAGATGCCTCCAATTGGGGGGGTCGTCTTATATGCCGGGTCGTCTTATACGCCGGCAAATAGTAATTGGGAAGCACTGCGGCAAAAGCCGCGGCTCTTCCTTTTTGCCTTTCCCTTCCCGAGGCAATGCGGGACTGGAGCCGCGCGGAGCCGCGCCAGCGGTAACAACTCCTGACAGCCCCAGCCGGATACCTCAGCGGAGCCCGGGCGGTGCGAGCCTCGTTTCCTTGGGAGCTGGGAGAAGGCTGGCTGCTCCTTTCAGCTTCACGGGATTCGTTTCCACGGTAGACAAAAGTGCCTCAAAAAAAAAAAAAGTGCAAAAGTGGAAGGCGTGCGGAAGAGGGGGCGAGTATATAACAAACTATATTTTGAGTGGAAATGTTGGGGGGTCGTCTTATACGCCGGGTCGTCTTATACGCCGGCATATACGGTACGTAAGATTAGGTAGATTAAGCATTTTTTGTGGGGGTTGCAAACAGAACAGAAAGACACCAATGCGATGGGAGAGAGCATTAGAAAATGGCTTTTAGGCCAGTGGGAAATGATGGCAACCTCTTTATAGTCTATAAAGCAAAACACACCAGATCTAGAAATTTGATGTGAAGAGCCAGAAAGGTCCAAATTCAACTGGAACACAGTTGCCTTCCAGAGGTGATCGCTAAAGAGTTCCACTCAGGAGGAGAAATGAGGAGAAGGGCAAGAGAGGGAGAGCATCCTGCCTCTCTCAGCTTCGCCATTTCATTGTCATTATTTATTGTTACTTGACAAAGCACCACATGTTGCTTTAACATCCCTTTTCATGATCCTGCTGCAAATCTTGGACAGAAGATTGCTGGCATGTAAGAAAGCCATTCCTTTCCCTTTCAAGTTCTGCAGAATGAAAATGAAAGGACATTGCAGAATTCCTCATGGGAGCAACTCATTTGTCCAAACCGTTGATGTTTGAGGGGGTTGTGAGCTCTTCCCCCCCCCAAAAGGGAGGGGTCTGTAGAGCCTCATGTGGCCCATCCCGCTCTACAGGGTGGTTTGCATGAAATGTAGGATGAGTGGCAGATGAATGTGTTTAAATATCTCCAATGCGAGAAGCATTTTTCTGCAGGGTTTTATCACTGATGGCTGATTGGGAGGCATGCATGTTATTGTTTACAGGACAAGCACATAAGAACGTGTCCTGAAAATGACACTGAACATTGTAATACAACACACACACACACACACACACACACACACATCTGCAGCATTTGCTCAATGTGTTCAACTTGGGTAGTACCAGTTTTACTTAAAAATGTAAAACTTATTTAGTTGACCAGTTTGATCTCATGGTCAAACCACCAAGCTAGAAAGTGTGAATTCTAATCCGGCCTTAGCAGGAAAGCCAGCTGGGTGACTTTGGGCCAGTCCCTCCCTCTCTCTTTCAACCCAACCCACCTCACAGGGTTGTTGTTGTGGGGGAAAAGAGGAGGGGGAGGAGGAAGATATGTTACATACGTTCACCACCTTGAGTTATTTGTAAAAATAATAAAGGCAGGATATAAATAAATAAACGCATAAATAAAATGTGACTTAGTGTACTATCCAAATTTAGCTCCTTTGACTACTTTAGGGTTCAACATATTGTACAAACCCAGAATATGAGTTTATTCAGTAACCATTTGCTATGTAAATGTGGCCTTTGGACCATTTTTATAAGGAACAAGGGCTGGACATTCTCCTGTCAATAGAATGAAAACAAATTTGCTTTTCCTTTTTTCCCCCTGGATGGACACAACTGACCAAAGTTTTATGTTGGCATGCTGCATGAAGTACCAGGCCTTCACATGAAACCATCCCATTATAGGTTTGTCTTAGCCTAGCATGCTGTGTCATCATAGGAGCAATGTCTTGCGAAGCCAGGTTTAGGGTTTAGAGTGTCCTATGTCAGATCTGTGTATTTGCCACTCTTAAATGGAAGAAGAAGGGGGGAGTTGGTACAAGTAATCCTTTTTTTATGTAACCTGAATATCTTAAGTCTTGTATTGAATCTGTATAACTTGCACATGAAATACAACTGGGGGCTGGAGCCCAGATGCCTGGAAACTTGTCACCTCTTGG